GAGCGTGGGCCACGGCGCTGTCCAGCTGCAGCTGCGCCTGAACCTGAGAGCCACGCGGCCGCGAGTGGCACCGCCGACCCGGCCCCGCAAAGCCCGCAGCCCACCCACCGTGCCCTACGCACCCCCCCCTTCCCGTCCCGGACCCGCCGTGCTTCCGTACTTCCGTACCCCGCACGCCTCTCGCTGCTCCCCCCGCGTCCTACGCACCTCACGGAGTCCCCGTCCCTCTCCCGCACAGCCCGTATCCCGCGACCCCGCATCCCAAGTGCCGCTCCTGCAACAGCGTGTCCCGCGTCCCTTCTATCCCACACCCCTTGTTCTGCATCCCTCGCGTCCTCTCACCCCCTATATCCCACACCCCATATCCTGCACTCCCCGCGACCCGCACCACCACCATCCTACACCCCATCTCCTGCAAGCCCTGGTCCCACAGCCCATATATCCCTCACCCCACACCCCGTAGTATCCCAAACACGTACCTCCCGTGTCGTATACCCCACGACACCCGTTTCCCACATCCTCCATATCCCACATCCCTCATCCCGCACCCCCTGCGCCCTACACACCCCATATCCAATAATCCACACCCCACGGCCCCCATACCCCGCACCCCACGGGCACACTTGCCTGCTGGAAGGGCATCCGCAGCGCTCCCACGTTGACGTAAGGGGCCACCCGGCAGGCTTCGAACTGGCTGGCGGCCCCTATGAGCACTCCTGCAGGCAGCGGTGGGTCAGCCCAGCCCCGCCGGATCCCCACGCGTGTCACACCCGCTCCCCCCCCCTCACCCCGGACACGCACGGCCGTACCTTTGTGCAGCTGGTTTTCTTGCTTTCGGCATTTGGCTCTTCTGTTTTGGAACCAAACCTGGGGGCACAGAGGGGGGACGGGGTCACGAAGAGGGATACGGCCAATAAAAATAAAATAAAACCCACCGAGAATAAAAAGTGGAGGACAAAGAGAGTGGCAATGATGAGTGAGGGACGAGGCAATGAGGGTGCGAGAAATTCGGGAAATGACCCAAAATTGGCACTCGCTGTAGCCGAACCACTTTTCCCAGCCCCGAGTTCCCCTTCCCAGCCGGGGTCCCACCGCACCGATGTCTCTGATGTCTCTCCCCACAACCTCCCAACAGCTCTAAGCTCAGCTCGTTGTAATGGGTTTGGTTGTTTGCGCTGTCGGAGCCGAGGAGAACGCGCTCGTTAATAGCCCGTGTTATTAATTAGCTTTATCGTCAAGGAAAAAAAAAAAAAGAAAAAGAAAAAGAAAAAAAAAACGAACAGCGAAGTGTTTAATGCCTCACTTTTGGGGGGTAATTACTGTCATCAAAGCTTTGCTACAAAGAAGTTGGAATTTCTCTGTTCCTCTGTGCAGCGGAGTGTGGCACGCAGGCGGAATAATTGTCTCATTATCATGATAATCTGATTTGCCGCCACGGAAAGGGCTGCGCGATGGACACGAACGGACTTTTTAATATTGGAAATGGAATGGTTGAAATAAATAAAGACGGAACGAAGTTCTGCTCGGCCGGGGGAGGTGGGGAGGAGGGCGGCAGCTCGGGAGCTGAGGGTTCCGTGCTGCCTTTAGGCTGCCGCAACCGCCCCATGAGCCTCTCCCCACGGCCACAACAAACAGACAAATTGTAAGTAAAATTACTAATAATAATAATAATAATAATAATAATAATAAAAACATGTTGTTGGGCGTCTCTTCAAGAGGCAAATATACACTCGCCCCCCCCCCCCCCGCCTTCACATCTACTCCGGTCAAGCCAAGTCTGTCCAGCAGCCACGTATTTGCCCTCAGCCTCCCGTGGAAAGAGGCACAGTCCGTGATTTGCAAAGCAGCGCAGAGAAGGGGAAATATCCGCGCGTGCTTTTACTGAGGGTAGGGGCTGAGCTCCGCGAGCAACGCTGCCGGCCTCTGCCCCGGGCAGAACTACTTCGCTGGCTTTGATTTCGTTTGGGTTCGTTCGGCTGCGGCGACGGGAAAAAAATAATATGAGCGGGGAGCTGGGGAAGAGCGGCCGAGAGGCGTCCGCAAACGGTGTCGATTGTTTGGGGTTCTTCGGCGCGATGTGAGCGCTCTGTCCCTGCTCTGACCCCGCTGAGCGGCGCGGGGATCCCCCGGGCTCGGTGCAGATGGTGCCTGAAAGCACGGGGCTGGAAGGGGGGATCCGCTACAGCGCGGCCCTCCCGCAGCTGCAGATGTTGGGGGCCTAAAGCTGCTCCATGTGTTCGACCAAATCACGACCATCGTTTTCTCTTCTGTTCTTATTAGAACGGAAATACTCCGCGGCACCGACATTTGTTTTAATTTGGGAAGCGCTCTCCCTGGAGCTGCCGGCGGAACTCGCGGGGATGGATTTGGGGGAACTCGGGGAAGACGGACGGGGGTTCTGCTCAGGTTCAGCCGAAGGAAGCTTCGGCTTCTCGGGATCTGCTCGGATCCCAGACTTTCGCACCGAACAAAGCCGGCCCGCGTTCCCCTTGTTTCTCGCTGCTTCCCTCCAGATTTAAGAGCCACGACCGCGAACATCCGCACCGCGTGGATCCCCGCTGGGTCACGCTCTCTCCGCGGCGACGAACCGACCCACGGCACCCCCGAGAGCGAACCGCACAGCGGGACCGAGGGGCAGCGGCTGCGGGGAAAGCCCCGCGGATGGCACCGAGCGGTCGTCCCCCCCCGACCCGCGTCCGCCCGGCGCTACCTGCACTCGGGCTTCGGACAGCCCCAGCCGCTGGCTCAGCTCCTCCCGCATGAAGGCGTCCGGGTAGTGGGTCTCGTCGAAAAGCCTTTCCAGCTCGTTCAGCTGCTCCAGGGTGAAATTTGTCCTGCTTCTCCGCTGCTTGATTTTCGTCTGCCCTTCGTCTTCCATGCCTTTCGCATCCTCCTTGCGCTCTTTCAGCTCCGGGGACACTGGACACGACACAAGCAGTCAGGCGGCCGCCGGGAACCGGGCGGGGAGCCGGGCCGGGAGCGGGGCTGAGCCGCGAGGCCGCGGAAGGCCCTTCCCCGCCGCCGTGCCGTGCCCCGCCGCTCGGCTCCGGGCCCGCCGCGCTCCAACACCCGCAGCCCGGCCCTGCGCACTCCTGCCTCGGAAGTGCAGCAACAGGTCGCGGCCCGCGGTCCCGCGTGGGTTTCGTTGCCGTGGCTTCGCCCCGCGAGCAGAAATCGCTCCGCGGAGCCGCCGCGGCGGATGCCGCCCGCACCCCGCGACCGAACAAAAGGGCGGCGGCGACCCGCGAGGCTCCGCATCCCGCCCGGCTCCGACCGGCAGCTCCGCCGGGGATCCGCGGAGGTGTCCCTCCGCTCTGCGGTACCCGCGAGGCAGCGCCGGGCCCCGGAGCTTTCGTTCTCCGCGCGGCTTTGGCGGGATGCTGGAGAAGCGGCTCGGGCCGCGAGCGAGTTGGAGGCTTCTTGCGATATTTTAATATAAACTTCGAGGCCGGCCGCATATTTCCCGTAATTGGGAAAACATGGCAAGGCGCTCGCTCTGCCCACCGGAGCCTCGCGAGGAGCGCGACGGCCCCGACGGGGAAGGGACGGGGAGGGAGGAAGAAGGGGCTCCCGGTGCCGCCGTTACCGTCGCTCAGCTTCGGGGTGGCCGCGTCGGCGGCTCTCTCGGCGGCGGCGTCGGGTTCCCGCGGCGGGGAGCGTCCGCCACCCGCCCTCCCCGCTGGGCTGCCCGTCTCGTCCCGGCCCGGCTCCGCCGCGGTTCCGCCGGGCTCCCGGGCTCCGCGCAGGGGTCCGCTCTCCAGCACCTCGCGGTAGGTGATGAGCTCCTTCTTCTCCTTCGCTTTGGGATCAAACGATTTGGAGACGAACGCCGTCAGCTCCTCCATGGCCGCGGCTCAGGGCCGCCGCGCTGCCCCGGCTTCGCCGTGCCGCCCCCCCGGGCGGGCATCCACGGGGCGGGGTGCGGCCGGACCGGGCCGAGCCGTGCCGCGACCTCCGAGCCGCTGCGCTCCGAACCGGGCCGTTCCGCCCGACGTGCGGGGCCGGGCTCTCCTCGCCAGCTCCGGGCTCTGATAGCGTCGCGCCGCTGGAAGTGGCACTATTTATACTTTGCAACGCCTGCCCCTTGTTCCCGGCGAATTACCTCCCCTCGGAGCTCTGAATGGACCCCTTCCTTCTCCGCCGCCCGCCCGCCCGCCGCGGGGCAATGCGGCCACAGCGCTCCGCCGCCCGCCCGCCCGCCCAGCGCTGCGCCCTAATTTAATTTAATTAATCGGCTGCTCCACGCGAGGTCCCGGGCGGGCGATGCGCGGAGCCGGGGCTGCAGGGGAGGGGCCGGGGGGGTGCGCAGCCTCCGCACCCGCGCTCCGCCCGCATCGCGCCTTGCGGGGCGGGGGCACGGAAAGTTCCTCCGTGGGCTCCCGTGGGCTCGGGGATGGTGTAACGAGGGGGTAGCGGGCAGAGGAGGGTGGAGGCGTGGGATTAGAGCGAGTGACGCCGCTTGCGGCTCGCATTGTCGGGGCTTTGTTGGCTAAATCCCGTGAAAGCGGCACTTTTTTGTTGACACCTTCGGTGGGATGCCAATAAATTATTCAAAATTGTTGAACTCGCGCCCGCGTATCGATTCCTCCTTTGACCTCCACGGGGATGACTTTAAAGAGAGGGAGCACCGATTGCCCGTCGGGGGTCCTTTTGCCCCTGTTCACCTCAAAGCTTGCGTTTCCCACTGCGGGGTTGGGTTGTTTGTTTCTTTTTCTTCCCCCCCCTCAGGAAAGCGGTGTGTTTCGCTTCATACTAGTGCAAAATTCGTTATGGGACTGGAATCCCGCGTGGAAATTCGCGGGTGGGAGAGTTTTGCTCCGTTGGGAGACCACAGCTGCGGTGTCTGGGTGCCCCAGAGCCCCACGCGCGGCCGCGTAGCCGCGCGTGGGGCTCTGGGGCACCCAGGCACCAGCCAAAGCTCCCCGATCCCCACTCGTGTCCCGCACCCCGCGCAGCGCATCCATTCGCTCGGCGCTCCGCAGCACTGCCTGGCGCCATCGATGCGCTCGGCGCTCTCTCGCCTCTGCCTGCCCACCTCCCTCCGGGAAGCATCTGCGCTCAAAACCTCGGCCCTGAGGCCTCGACTCGGCTGTTGGAGGCTGAGGTAAAGCTGGGGGGAGGACGGGTGGGCTTTTTATGGGGGGGGGGGGAGAGAGAGGAAGAGGTTCCGGGTGGCTGAAGGGTCTCGGGGTACAGGGAGGGTGTGGGGGTAGGCCTTAGGCCTGCCGTTAGGCCTCAGGCCTGCCGTTGTCATGGCGACGTTGCGGCCTGGCCTGGGGCAGGGCCTTGGGGGTGAGATTGGGCCTTGGGGCCTGGGTCCTTCCCCCGCAGAGCGGTCAGAGTGTTGTTTTGTTTTGTTTTGGTTTGTTTTCTTCTTCTTGCGTTTAGCGTGAACATCTCGAGGTTTGAAGCTGAGTTCTCTTGTTTGCGGTTCAGTTGTTTTATCTCGGTGTTTTCAGCTGGAGGAGCTGGTTGTGCTGTCTCTCCCTATAGGTGTGAGTTGGATGTTTCTCCTTTAGCAATTTGGAGGCTTGGCTAAGGGAAGGAACCCACCGGATAAGTACTTACAAATACACACTGTTTTGTAAGACCTATCTAAATGCTTACCTGCTGTACAGAGCCTGTTTTGATAGGGGTTTGGACTCAGTGATCACTCAGAGGGTGCTGGTACACTGGAACACAAACACTATTCCAATAGATGTGTTTTAAATGTAACTTTTCTCGGAGAGGAGGGAAGCTGGAAGAATGAGAGAGGGAGAGCTGCTGCTGTGCTCTGGCAGCTGGTGCGCTGCTGTGCTTGCAGTGAGGACAAGTGCTGCCATCCTTTCTGCCCCACGCTGCTCACTGATTCTAGAAAAATGGAGCAGTTTCCCAGCCTGCAACAGCTTGCCCAAGGAGGCTGTGGATGCCCCATCCCTGCAGGCATTCAAGGCCAGGCTGGACGTGGCTCTGGGCAGCCTGGTCTGCTGGTTGGTGACCTGCACATAGCAGGGGGCTGAAACTGTATGATCATTGTGGTCCTCTTCAACCCAGGCCATTTTAGGATCTCTAGAGGTCCCTTCCAGTCCTTACAATTCTGTGATTCTGTAAGAACAGGTCACCTCATTGTCACTTCTGATCCAATGTTTTTCTTTGTTGAGAGCATTTCTTTCTGAACTGCAGAGCAGGAAGAGTTTCTGCGTAACTGCAGGCTTGGTGGTGGGAGGCACAGATAATCCTTCAACCACACACATGTGCATGCTGTCAGACTGAGTTCTGCCTGTTTGCAATTTCCCTTTCTGTGGGAGCAGCACTGCTGTTAGTAACACTGTGAATCCTACTTGTTAGAATCGTGTTTGTTAAGTAACATAGAATAAGTTTTGCTTCAGTTAGCATTGTTTCCTGGCTGGAGCCCATCCCTGAATTGTTCATTCTCTCTAAGGAAATCACAGAAACACAGAATTCCAGGGTTGGAAGGGACTTCAAGGATCATGAATATCCACCCCCCTGCCACATGCAGGGCCACCAACCTCCACATTTCATACCAGACCTGGCTGCCCAGGGCCCCATCCAACCTGGCCTGACCTCTAAGGACTGGGCATCCACAAGCTCTCTGGGCAGCTGTTCCAGCACCTCACCACTCTCATAGTAAAGAACTTAATGTGCATACATTTATAAAGCTGCTCTGTAAACAGTGCAAATGGCTACTGCAAGTCAGTTACAAATGAAGTTTCTTAGTAATTAAGGTTTTCTTTACGTTTTTATATGCTAGTTACTTAGCTGCTTAGTAGCACTGTTTGTAGCTTTAACAAAAGTAAGTAGTTGTTTTGGAATTTTTGTTGTTGGTGTTTCTCTTGGCAGATGTTTGAAAGCAGGTGCTTTGTTTTTGTTTCAACCAAATTGTTGCAGCATGAGTTCTCAAAAAGTCTAAAATAAAATAAGTGTTAAAAAACAAAACACCAAAAACCCTAAACCTGCCTGTTTGTTGCTGTAATGTGCCTTTGCTTCAGAACAGCAATTTCAAATGCATTGGATCCAACAGTAAGTCATCCTACTGATAAGGTTAGGGCAGAGTGACATAGAAATAGGAGCCTCACTGGTGGCCAGGAGTCTCTTTCTCCCCAAATGCCTGGGAAGTAACCTGGCTTGTCAGTCTCACCATCTATCTGCTGTCAATGCTTGGTAATGTACCTCTTCCTCCTCGTACTACTTTGTGGTTGAGATAAAAGCCTGCTGCTGCTTCATGTGCCTTGCCAGACACCTAGAGCTGCATCTCTCACTGTCTGCACGTAAATAGGAATTAATAATGTATCTCCTATTGCAAATACCTATGGCTTAGCACCTCCTTCTGAGACCTACATGGGGAGGCACCTCAAAAATGAGATCAGGCCCCACAGCTGTTAGGGGAACTCTTACACCACTCTTCTAACTGTGGTGGATCTACAGACTGTGTGTGGAAACAGATGGGTAGAAAACACTTAGGAGCCTCAATATACAGTTCTTCTGTGATCTGTAGGTACTGTCAGCCAGTCCTGCTTGTGGAGCTGGTGTGTGGACCACTGACCCAGCAGAGCAACTCTTAACTCTTCCATCTGCCAGGCTTTGGGTGTCAGTCGGTGCTAGCAGTCCTTTCTGATGGGTCTGTGCTGGAGTATGGAGGGAGGAGGCAGCGGTCATGGAAGACACCAGACTGGTGTAGGTCTTAGTGTTTGAAAGCAGTTGATTGTTATGTTTGTAAGAGGCACCTTCACGTGACAGTGTATGTGATGTGCTGAAGGAGTGGTCCAAAAACCCTGGTGGCAGATGAGCCTGTCTGACAGGCACTGCGTACTTCTGAAGTATCCCTGTAGCTGGCAGCTACAGATTCTTGGCTGCTCACGTTGTTCTGGGATCAGGTCTGCTTCTGGTGACTTCTCTTCCAGTGGGGTCTCCAGGACATGCAGAACATCAGTCACCCACCTGCCTTCATCCACTCAACCGCTGCAAACCCAGAGCTTATTGGAGCTCCTGAGGTGCTTCTGTGTGTTGCAGTAGGGCTTGTCCTGAAGGGCTGTGGCACACAACTTTTCTATGGTCCTGAAGACATAAAATTGAGGTTTACGCAGTGTGTTTCACTAGATTGGTATGCTGCTTAATCCAGTTATGTGCCCAAATTGGGGGAAAGGCTGTGGTTAAAAAAGGAAGTTAAACAACAGGCAAAATATATGTTGAAGTGTAATGTTCTGGCTCGTAATGATATCCACATCAAGTGGTAAATATCTTGGCAGAAATGTCTTCTGTACTCTGTGTTTCTCAGGTCTCTTCCATTAATCTTGCTGTCATGAGCTGTGGTCTGTGAGCTCTCAGTTTAAAACCTGAGCATTGGAGTTTCATCCTTCTGAGCAGTTCTGCTTATTTAGAGTTTGAGATTCAGCTTCATCTTCATTTGAAGGTTGTTCTATCAGCCTATATTTGAAGAGCTTTGTTTTACCATATAATAACTGTTGGTACCTTGGGTATCTGCAAGTCTTTGAGCTGGGGGGGGTGGAGGAAGGTGGAGAATGGAGGAAATAACTGCACAGGGCAACATGCTGATAGAAATTGTCACTCCTCTATGGAACTGCAAATTGAAGTCCTATCTTCTTAAATAAGATAGAGTAAGCTGTAAAATACTGCCTTTGTCTTTCTCAAAATCTGTGAGGAGTAACTTCAGTAATATGGTAGAAATAATTTTGTTCCAAGGGGGACGCTGGTGCAGAACAGCTCATCCTCCTGAAGTTCTGCCCTTCCAGGCACGTGGAACGCTGCTCTTTTCATTGGAGTATTTGAAAAATGCTTTGTTAGCTGAAAGATTGGACCTTAAGTGCTGAAGACTGCAACTGCAGAGCAGTGAAGGGATTTAGTGTGGTGGCTCTCGGGCTTGCTGAAGTGCTGTTTGATCCACAGAACCTTGGCTTCATGGGAGCGGGCTTCACAAAGCTGTTGGGATTGTGGCAGGAAGGAAAGTGTGAGCATCAAAGAAGGGCCAGGCATGTAGGGATGGTCCTATATTGAGCATTCTCAAGCTGTTGGATGTGCTTATGGTGCTTTAGAGGTGACAACCTGGAAAGCTTCCTTGGAAATTCTTGCAGCTCATTGGCCCTGCAAAACACATGGAAACTTCAGTTGAAGAGGCTGTTGCCTGTGGGGATAAACAGGCTTTTTTGCTCAGTTTTTGACCTAGCATAGTTGAGGCTTTTATTTGAGTGTAAACATTTGATGTGTTTAAACAAGTACTTAACAGCGAGTTTCTCCTTTGTTTTGTTGTCAGTTCTGACCCTGGAGATGAGGGTCTGCTGAGAGGTGGCAGAAGGTGTGAGGAAGGGCAAAAGCAGGAAAGGAACCAGCTCAGCTTCTCTGTGCTGGAATATGAGGAGCTGTAATATTTCAGTGTTGGTTGAAGACAGTTGATAGCTGTGCCAAAATACACCCATGACCTGGCTGTTGATACAAATGTTAAGGAGTTTGGAGCTGCTGTTTTCTTGGTATCTGGAGAGCTTTGAAACAAGTGTTCCTCCTTGGGAGGGGGGCCTGTTGCTGGCTGCCATTAGAGAAGATGTATGTGGAGATTGGTTCTCAGCTGTGTAGGGCAAGTATTGCTGGGACAGAAGAACAGTTTTAAAGCACTTCTTACAGTTTGCAGTCTGAAAAGTCAAGAAATACTGCTTTTCTTAAATCCTGAAGCAATGAGGCTGATTGGAGTTCCAAAAGGTGATGGTCTTCGTAGCAGTTAAATGAATGGCAGCCCTTACCACCTCCTTTTTTCATTAAATTGTCAAAGTCTGCAGATTGACAATCAAGAAACAGTTCTGTATCTGTAGCTCTGATTTTTAGAATAGAGCAGCTCTAAGTTGAGTGGCTTTAACTGAAAACCAAAGTCAACCCAACTCTAGCATGAATTAATTTGAAGATAATTTGATTTCTCAGTGTTTGTTTTTAATTATGCTAAGAGAACAAAAACATACATTACCTTAGTTGTGCAGTCTGAAAGCGAGTTACATCAGAAACAGAAATAGACCACGTCGTATTGATTGAGCAAGTATGCCTTCTCATTTGTAACTGTACCTTCAGATGGTGTGCAGTCAGCAGTACAGCATCTTCAATATGCTTAATGGGGAGTATGTAAGAATTATCTCCTTGTAAATGACTTCTCAGATTTCTTAAAAATTAATATCTGGGCCAAAAATGTAAAAATAAGACAAGATGAAGTATGTTCTGATATAAAAATGGGTTTTATTAGTGCATTTAGATGTTTAGATGGTTGTAAAATATCTTTTGTAGGAGTTCAGAACAAGTGTTTAATGCCACAGTGAGCTTATACTGTCAGCAAATAAATTTCAAATTACTTAAATTTGTTGAAATCTTATAATTAAATCTTGATTTAAGTTTTGCGTGGAAGCCAAACAGTTTATTTACACAGTAGCTTTAAAAATGGTGCCAGGGTGTATTTGTATAAACACACTTGTTGTGTGTGTGTGTGTGTGTGTGTGTGTATATAAATGCAGGCTCAGGGTGTTTCTCCAGTTCAGAATTTTTGTCTTTCCTTAGTTCAAAAATGGGCCGTCGCTCCTCGGACACAGAAGAAGAGAACAGAAGCAGAAGGAAGAAGAAGCACCGCAGGCGTTCGTCGTCAAGCAGCTCCTCAGACAGCAGGACGTACAGCCGTAAGAAGTCTGGGAGGAAGTCGAGGTCGAGGTCCCGCTCCCGGGACGCGCAGTCACGTTCACATTCGTATGAGAAAAGGTGCACATGCAGTACTTGTCTGGCTGCTGCTGCTGGGTGCAGATCGGGCTCTTCCATATCCCATACTGCGGGACATAAGCGTTCGGATCCCGTGTGTGCTCAGTTCTGGTTTGGAATTTCATTGTTGTTTGCTCAGAATCTTGGAAGATGTGGCGACAGCTCCACTTCTATTTCAAAACCAAACCGTCAGAATGGGCGACACCACGATTAGATTTCACCAGCACGCTTCCTAATTCTTTGTGTGTCCAGGGTACAGTCGTCAGGGGGTGATGAGAACACAGATGTGGCTCTATCTACCGAAGTTGCACTGGCCTGAAACTGTATTTCCTTTATCACAGAGTCCCCTTTCTGTACCTGATCTTTTTAGATATCCTGGTTGTCTATGACTCAAGATGATCCAGGAATCAAACTGAGCAGATTATTATTAATGGATGGGGCTGGAAGATGCTCATCACACCTAGCTGTAATAGAAACGTATGAGAAGCTGCTCCTGACCAACCTTTCTGTAGCTGGCAGGGGAGTATTTCAGAAAGGGGCAGGCAGGCCACTGGAGGGGTTCTTGTTGGTTCCTTTCCATCGCCCTGTTTTTCTGTTCCTGCTTAGCATCTACATACAGCCCTTAGGGGACACAGCGAGATGACATGGGCTTTGATGCCAACAATATGCTGATGACATGCAGCTTTATGAATCTCTTTAGTCCAGTGCAGGCATGGCTATCTCACAGATAAAAACAGAGCTTGAAGGGAGATTAGAGTCTGGACGAAGACCAGTTGACTTAAATTGAATCCAGAAAAGACCAAAGTGTCTGCTTTTAGTATCTGGCTAGCACCTCTGCTTTGCCCTTAGTTTAGGATATTTGCTCCTGGCACTTAAATGACTGTCACACTCTGGGGTTCTGCTGGATTTATCCCTGACCAGAAGTATAAAAACCAGCAGTCTCCAAGATTGCTTTACTTCATCTTCATTTAGCAGGAGCGTTGCCTGCCTTTTTCACATGGAAACCTGCTCTTTAGGAGTTAGCTCAAAGTCCAGCACTCCTTGTACATAATGCAACACCTTTTCCCTTGTGCTAGATGAGCATTCATCCCATGGACTAGACCCTGAGCTACAAGAATAGGGTGTTATACTTTACTATCACCTAAGCATCCTGAAGGCCAGAAATAAGGGCTCGTAAGGGCTGCAAGTGTTATTTAGCTGTGAGGGAGATGGAGAAGAAATTGTATGAAAGGTTGAGACTTAAAGCATCCCTCCCACCAGGTTTGGGATTGGTTGATTTAATGTAGGTATTTGCTGTGTATTCTTTCATCTTTCTCCTGTGTGTATAGGAACTTATTATTTGAATAAATGAAACAAGGGTGGGGGATGGAGGTGGGAGTGGGGTGGGGAGAGAAGATACCGTTCTGGCCTCTGGTAGAGCTCAAGAGAAAACTCCCAAGCTCAGATTGAATAAATTAATACTGATTATTTGATTAATAGTAGTGCTGAAAAAAGGAGGAGTGCAGAGAAAAAAAAAAAACAACAAATAGTCTCTGTATCTGAGCAATGACTGCACATTATGAAAGTTGAGAACTCAATTGTTTGTTTATAGAGGGAAAATATTTATAGGTGTATGTAATTTAAAAAAAAATGTTTGCTTTTTATGTATGTGCTGGATGGCTGGAGGTAATTGTATAGATCTGCAATGCAGGAGCTAATGTTTTGAATTTCATTTCTTGTGCTGGAATTCTTTCCACTGAAAAGCAGTGTATTTCTGAGTAAGAGCTGCTGAGAATGTGGGTCTAAATGTTTCTTAAACTTCAGATTTGGCAGAGAGTCAGTGGGTTCCAATGCACTGGTCACGAGACTGCAGTTCATTGAGAGCTGAGCTGTGTTTCTGGCTTAGCCCTTCGAGTGTTGTGTGATTTGGGGCATATCAGTTAACTTCTGTTTTGCCTTCTGCCCTTGGGACGTATGTTTTTGAATGCAAGCTCTTCAGGACAGGCTTTGCTCACGTATGTGTGAGTTACTTATTAGTGTGCAGCAGTGGTGTATGTTGAGGCTTTTCTGACATGCTGCAATGCAAGAGATAGTTTTGCATGCACATGATTTTGAGTGAGCTGTTTGTTCCTTTCCCTGCTGCTGTTTTTTGTTCTAGAAGCTGTGTGTGCTGATAACATGGGTCTGTTTCAGGCGCAGGCACAGATCGAGCAGTAGCTCTTCCTATGGCTCCAGAAGGAAACGCAGTCGCAGCCGATCGAGGGGCAGAGGGAAATCCTACAGGTCTCAAAGATCGAGGTCAAAAAGTAGAACGAGGAGGTAAGGTGCTTTTCTAGGAAAGAAATTACTGTTATTTCTACTGTAAAAGCATTTATTGTAAGTCACCATGTGCTTACTGAGTTTGTGAGCAGATTAGAAGTGGTTGCATGTGGTCTAATTGACATGTTGCTTGAAAATCTTCTTAAATTGAAATCTCTGTGCTGTGCTTTTCATGCACTTACGATAGCTTTATTTTAAGCTGACAGCACAGTTGGATTTAATGGTAAATCATATGTATTGAGTTTGGCCAAATGCAAAAAGAAAAAAGTCACCTTAGTTTTGTTTAACTGCAGTAATCTGAAATCCAGGTACAAAAGTTGTCTTTTTGATTACTGGTTTCCATGACCTCCATGCATAGTATTGGTTCAGTGAAGACGACGTGAAACTTTTGTTTTCTCATCTGTTTTTCTTGTGAAATGGGGAAGTGTTTCCAGTTCTGCACCTCTCACTTAACAGTGAAAAATAACTGTGGTGCTGCAGTTCTTGATGGATCAGATTGTGACAAGTCAGTATTTTCAATAATAAGCATAATTTGAATCATAATCAAATCGTATTATAAAACTGTTTTGTAGTTTATGATGAGCAGGGACTCTATTTTTTTGGTGTGTATTTGTCCATTACAAGGTTTAAATGAAGTTGATCCATGGATATAAGGACTGCTGTTGAATTTAAGGTCATTATTGAGACTAGCAGGCAGATGGAAGCCTTTCTTTGTTTTAATATCTGTTTACTGATCTGCAGCTGGGTAATTCTGCCTAGAATTTACTAAGAACTTGGTAAGACTTGTTATTTTCTCGTGCCAGATCAGTCAGGCCGTTCCTCCTAAATGTTACTGAAAAATTGTTGAAGGATGTGAGCACTTTCCTTTTCCTATTTGTATTCTCTCATGACTTATTCACAGCTGTTCATTATAATAGTTGCCTGGACACTTATTGCTACAGTGCCTTTGTAGTGGCAATTTGGTTATTTAAACAACCTGACCCCTTTTGGAGTGTGGTTACCTTTTGAGCTGTGGAATGGATAAGCTGCTGAGTTCTGTGTAGAAGTGCTCCTGTAAAAATCCACTCTTATAGCATCAGTTTTAAAGCAGTGAGATGGAAAAGGAATGAAGTGACAACAAAGGTGCTCTCGAATAGGTTGGGTGCTCAGTATTAGAAAACAGGATAACCTGCTCTGAAAGGTCTGTTGTATTCTAATAAATGTAAATTGTGTTATTAGTTAGATGTAGCTGATACACTAATGGTCATGTTTGCCAAAGGTTTTACTGATGTGAATTGCCATTGCAATGTATGGGAATTATCTGCCTAAAATCTTTTAAAACCTAATTGTGATTTATTTTATTTTGTGCTGGGAAATATTGCATACAAATATTTGGTGTACAAAGTATGCTAGCTTTTCAAACCTGTCCTACTGCTGGTATAGCTGCAGGTCATTTTGTATTACTAGTCACAGACACAAATATTTAGGGAAAATATTCTTAAGTCACATCTCAAATTATGTTAAAAGAATCTTTGATTCGGACTGTTTTGCAGTCTGCTCTCTTGTACTGTTACCCTGTGAAGCCATGGTTTAATCTGGGGAAGAATTGAGTAGGTTGCAGAAAGCTGCTGCTGGGGCCTGTGTGCTCCCTGCTTGTAGTACAGGGGCAATGGCAACAAAGCTGAGTGCTTCCTTGCCTTCCAACTCAAAATCTGCATTGTATACTTGAGTGAAGGTATGAACAGCTCTCTAAAGAGGACTGGATGAGTGCATCATGGCTCCTCGGGGCTCAGATTTGAAGGGGGACAGAGGAAAGGTGATGGATGGGTATGAAAAAAAAAAAGAAAGATGTGAAAAGATGATTAAAGGAGGAAATGAACAGCACTCCTTCAATGTAAGATCCTGGGCAGGCACCAAGTGAAGCAGATTCTAGTTAAATAGAGTTCTTGCACATCATGCAGTTAAGCTGTGGAAGTTCTTGCTGTTGTGGATGTTGTGATGTTGTGGATACCAAATTTTAAATGATTAAAAAAAAAAAGGCAAGAAAAATCCTTCAGCATCTATTGTAGTGGAGAGACAAGATTTGTCGTGGGCAATGGGGCAATGTGCAGGATGGAGTGCTGAAGTCATGGTGCAATTTTTGTATGAATTTGGCACCTGTGATCCATTCTTGCTTGGGATGAGACAGCATTTTTTTTATATCACCTTTGAAGGTAAGTACCAAAGAAAGCACTGGAGTGAAGTAGCGAATGACGTGATTACAGGTAACTCGTCCAGCTCTTGTTTGTGTAGTAAGAGCATGTTACCTGCTGGATTCTTGGTACCCTGCCTGTGGGTTGACTGGTGGGAAATAAAACCTACTGACCCACCAGCAAGGCAGCAATGTGAGATGCTACAATAAAGCAAAGCTCTGCTCTGTGCTGCTCTTATTTGTAGGGCTGCTGTTGTGCTTCCCAAGTACCACCTTTGGGACTTGAGCAGCTGTGTTTTCCAGTGCCGCTTGGGTCTGACACTAGAAAATCACTTTCTTGTTGGAAGTTGAGATTCTTTATGTTGTACTGTGAAATCACTGGATTTATTTTTGGTGTGAGTCATGCAGGTATCGCAGACTGTCTTCCTATTTCTCCCTCCAGTCCTCCATCAAACAAAGGCAGTTTATTTTTCAAGATGGTGAATGTGTTTGTAAAAGCATGTGCACCTGTGGTGTAATTTTAGTAGCTTTTCTAACATAGGTATTTAATTCAAATGAAATACCCAAATATTGAAGTATCAGGCTTTCATTTGATAAGTCACAACGTATGTGATGATCTCAGAACCTTTTTAAAATGTGCCACTTAACAAAATGAAGCACAAAATATCAGCTCAGATTTCAGAAGGTAAGAAAACTTGTGTGCATTGTGACTATTTTAGATGCATTTTTTTAGAGTCAAAAAAGTGGGTCTTGCTAGTAATGCTATAAATTTGAAGCTGTCCTACAGCAAGATAGTACAATGCAAATATGACTTAATAAGATCACAAACTGAATTTCAGCAAAACAACCAAGATTTACATTAAATTAGGAATTTTAAAACCGATTTAGTTTGTTTTACTGAGCATTTGCTTAATAACATTTTGCCTTCTTGCAATCTTTTTAAAGACAATAATTCGTCTGTGAAATGCAGGCACATCCTCAGTAGAAAAATTGAAAGCAACAGCTCACTTTCTGAAACCACACATAGAGTGATATAAAGAAATATTTCAGCTCTGCGAAATTTAATAAATCATCCCATTTCCTAATTTGATCATATTAGATGCTGATGTGGAAGAAGCATTTCAGATACCATCTCCTCATTAATATACATCAGTCTGGGGAATAGAATGGAATACTTATGCAGAGATGTCACAGTTACTGTTTCTTAGTTTACTAAGTGGAACAGGTTGATGTGATACTGGGTGCTATTTGTCAATGTCTTGCTAAAATGGTTTGGGTCGAGTTATGGAGTCCAGAAAGACAGCGGCTGATAAATCAAAAGTGGATTGAGTGGACAGGAGGCAGTGATTGATACTGTGACAGGATATGAAGAAAGGAATCTTGATACAAGCATGCATGATATTGAATATGAGAAGGAAAATGGCCCTGGAGTATGGATATTATTCAAGGAAATGAGAATAATAATATCATCTTGAAATTATTGCTGGGTGAAGATTAGGATAGTTCTTATTAGAATATTATGCTCCTCTGGAAGGGAGAAACTTGGATTTCCTGTGACTTGTGTGTGGGTAGAGGCTTGTTAATATTTTTAGTTTTCACTGCAGTCTTTCTGCAAGTTAATTGTATAGGAAAATACGTCAGAACTTGGGATTTCAGTCTTTTAATTCGTGTAGCTTTAAATAGGTTTAACCAAAGGATGTTAACCTTTTTTTCCTTGACTTCCTACAGTTCTGTGGTCACAGAGCATTTTGCTATAATTGTCCTTAAATACGCAAGCTTGTTTTTATTGTCTGCCAAACGTTTTTGGCTTTTCTTGTTGTTTTAAACTGAAGAATCCTGTCCTGAAATGTGTAACAAAGTTCGACGTGAGTGATGCAGTAACAGCTGGTACACCTATAGGTATCTATGGGGTAATGCAGTGTGAAGTGTAATCTTGTTGGTGAAATTGCTGTCTCTGGGTGGTCAGCAAAGGAGGTGCTTGATCGGTGGCTCTTCGTGTTGCTGGGGGCGGCGACATGACTACAAATTATTTCCTGAGCTCCATTCCAATTTAGTTTGGAAATGTGTGCATCTCATTGCAATCTATGGCATGGTGACTTACTCATTACGGGTAGCTTGGAATAGGGTTGGAGTCTGGTTGTTGCCTCAAGTTGTTGTTATCCTACCAAAGTAAACAAGAATTGTCATGCATCCAGCCCTCATAGGTTGTCAGAGTTCTTTGGTTTTGGTGCTTGTAAGTCCTGCTATTTGGAAAATCAGGTCCTGTTTATGCAGAGGAGAGCTAACTGAAGAGGATGGGTAAATAATGACAGTAAAAGCAAAGAGCTGGCTAAAAAGGGTCAGTAAGTAATAGTAACAACAAGAGAAATACTTTTGTATCCCCCCACAGTACTATTTAAATATCTGGACAGGTTCACAGCTTTAGTAAACTCTGTAAATGGTTTAATTTGCATCACCTGGTTGATGCACAGGGCTGATTTAATTACAAGATTCCTCCCCTACACACGTTTTCTAGGTGTACTTTCAACACTGCTGCTTCAAACAGAAATGCAGTGCTAGGTGCTGCTTACTGTGAAGTTACAGATGCTGCCACTGGGTTTGATCTGTGCTCAGGAGATCACAGCTTCAGTCAAAAGTTATTCCTGGTTGGGGCAAACTATCAATCCTTGCTTTGCATTGTTGGTTTACTCTGTGTGCCACTGTATGGTGATGGGCCTCAGCTTTTTGCAAGTTTGGCTGTTTAGTACTGGCAGGAGTCGGTTGTCTTTTGTGTGAGCTTTCTTTTTCCTTTGAGAATTATTTTTTTTTAAATACTGAGGTCTCTTCCAAC